TTGGCACAGTGTGTGGCACATAGTAAATGCTCAATAAATGCTAGCTGCTATAATTAGTGCCATTACAATGTGAGAAGTGGAGGTTGAGAAATGGTTATTGCCCAGGGATCCCTCTGCCTGATCTTCATCTTGGAACTCATTTCAAGCCCATCAAATGCTGAGCAGCGGGGAAGGTGTGGGCGGAAGAAATGTACAGAGAGAAACGCAATTCTAAACCAAACGTGGTTCAACTCATCTCCTAACAGGCAGCTCCCGCAGCCCAAGGTGTCCACTGGGTCCCCAGGAAGTGCAAGAAGCCAGAGGACAAGGGCCCTGGCAGCTCTGGGTTTAAGCAGAGACTTCTTTTTTTTTTTTTTTTTTATTGCTTAAAGTATTACAAAGGGTATTACATATGTGTCCATTTTATCCCCCCGCCCTAGACAGTCCCCTAGCCTCCCCTATCCCCCAATGTCTTATGTCCACTGGTTATGCTTCTATGCATGCATACAAGTCCTTTAGTTGATCTCTTACCCCCCTACCTCCTGCCCCGCAACCCTCCCCGGCCTTCCTGCTGCAGTTTGACAATCTGTTCGAGGCAGCTCTAAGCAGAGACTTCTTGATGATGGCTTAGAACACTCAGGAAGCCACGGTCGTGAGACCAATCCCAGCAGGGATGCATCAGGTCCCCGCCCAACTGTTTTAGGCTGGAGAATGGAGGGATGGTCTGAGTGATTTGTCAGCCCCCCTGGAAGCTCAGCTCCAAGCACTGGAAACAGAGGCTGAGGTGGGACCTGTCTACGGTGTTCCTGATATCTACAGATACACAATGTGGCACCTCTTCACACGCTAGCCCTGTGCCCCATATACCCCTGGCACCAGTGCCCCTAGGCCCACCACCTCTGCCTGGCGGACTCCTTTTCAAGCCTTGCCCCAAATACCATGTGCATTGAGAACCATTCCCTAATCTGCAGACAGAGATAGTCACCTCTTTATCTGCTCATCCTGTATGATAGCACTTATTTCATTATTGTAAGACTGACTTCCCGCTCAGGCCAGTATGGCTCAGTTGGTTGGGCGTCCTCCCGTGCACGGTGCACCGAAAGATTGCTGGGTAGATTCCTGGGTCGATTCACGGTCAGGGCACATGTCCAGGTTTTGGTCTCGATCCCCAGTAGGGGACACGCAGGAGGCAACCAATTGATATTTCGATCTCACATTGATGTTTCTCTCTCTCTTCCTTCCTTTGTCTCTAAAAATCAATAAAAAATCTTTAACAAAAAAAGACTGACTCTCCCAACTGAATAATAATTACAGAATAATATACTTACATAGTACTTACTATGCCAGGCATCGGTCTCAGCTCAATACGTGTATTAACTCACGTAATCCTTATAACAACTCTATGAGGTAGGAAGCTGAGTCACAGAGAGGTTAGATGACTTGCCCAGGATCACTCAGCTGTAAGTGGTAAAGCCTGGATTTGAACCCTAGGAGTGCAGCTCCGGAATCTATACTCTTACTGTGAACTCCTGGAAGACAGGGGCAACACCTGGTTTGTCTCTCTGTCTCTAGCATCTAACACGGGTCTGAGCACACAGCAGGTGCTTTGAAAAGATGGGCTGGTTACATAAGCAAATGCCTGGTGACTATTCCAGCCTCTGAGCTGTGGGACTGAGAGACCAAGGCCCTAAGGAAGTACATGGTGTACGCATCCTTCTTACGCACCCTCTCTTAGCAATCCCACCACACTGCTGTCTGTCCTGTCTGCTTATGTCTTTTCTTGTGTGCCTCTTGCCTTCTGATGTTTGTTTTCTCAGTGTATCTTCTGCCTCGTCCTCCTCCCCTACTGTTCCTGGCCACTCTCCCCCTTTCCTGCCCCATGCACCCTCCGTCCATTGTCCTTGCCCTTCTCTGTGGTCCTTGCAGGCTTGACAGCCTCCCACCCCCATTCTTTGCCTTGGAGCATTTATAGGGTCTAGGCTTGTTCAAGGGGGCTGAGGACACCAGTGGTATTGCCCCATTAGACTCACCATGGATGAAGCTCCTGCCCCCTGACCCTCAATGAAATGGCAATTTCCCATCTACTTGGGTGCAGGGTGTGGAGCGGGGTTCCCTGCCTACCGTTGTCACACATCTGTGCAGCATCAGAAAGACCAATACTCACCCTACGTCCTCCTTCGGGGTCCCATCTCCTCCAGCAAGCCTTCCCTGATCACTCAAGAGAGCACTCAGCAAACCTTACACCTTCTCATATTCTAACTGAGGAGACAAGGCGTGCCCCTGAAAAATCCAATTAAAACGTAATCTTCAGATAACTGTACCACTTACCAGATGTCACACACATCCAGGGGCCAAATGAACTGCAGACAATCAGTGATTTCAAAACGGAGACCTATGGGACCTGAGGCAAGTGGCTGATCCTCTCTGGTCCTCGGTTTCCTCCACTATGAAGCAGGGGAGGATAACCCAGACCTTAGAAGGCTGTCAAGAGGACTGAATGAGATCATTTTTGTAGAGCTCCCGTCACACTGGTGCTTAGTAGGCACTCAATAATGAATTTGTGTCTTTCTCCCTCCTCTGTCTAAAGCATTGGACTTCTGGGCAGCCCTCCCCGATAAATGGTAAGGTATGAACTGGCCCACCCTTTTAGGTCAGAAATGCCTTAAGGACAGGACAGCCCCGGCTCCGTAAGCTTTGTGGTACCTGGTATCTTGGAAGGAGATGGGCCTGTCATGTTAGAAGTCACTCAGCCGGATGATGACAATTCACTAGGACTGTTCCCGCTCGCATCCCTCCCACTGAGCGGTGGATCTCTGAACGAGCCTGGTGGGCACAGAATGATCACCAGGGAAGTCCAGGCACAAGTTCATTCTGCCCTGAGACCTGGGGGTTTGTTTAATTGCTGTATCCTCAGCTCCTAAAATAGTACCAGGCACATAGTAGGTGTTTAATAAATCATTGATGGAAGGAGCTTTGTTTAAAAAGTAACAGATTTTCTTTTTCCTTTCAAATAAAAAAGGGGGGGGCAGGTAGGAGAAGCAAATGGCAGGATACAGGAGACGTGCCAGGGACACGCAGCCGCCAGGCCCACCAGCCTCGCTCTCTTCTGCAAAAGGGGGTTGAGCAAAGCCAACAGCAAGTGTGTTCCCACCATCAGAGTGTCTTGAGCACAGAGAACATTTAAGACTGCGGTTTACAGAAGAAACGGGAGGGGGGGGGGCAAAGGTGGCGACAGAGACTTGGAAGGGAGGGAGGCAGAGGTCCTCGGGAGAAGGAGGGTGAAAGAAGAGAGAACACTGTGAAGAGAAAGGGTGACTCCTGAGGAAAGAGCGTGAAGAGGGGAGGAGGAAGAGGGGGGAGGAGGAAGAGGAGGAAGGAGGGAGGCACAGGGAAGAACCGTGGGGAGTCACAGAGGAAACGCCACTCAGTCTGGGAGGAAATTGTCTTAGCAGACCTCTGGGTTCCCACTGACATTTGGTGTCTCCTTCGGGGTAGGCTGTGCTGGGGGAGGGTGTGGATTTGGGGGTGCTCCTAGACACGATGTGTCTGCCAAGCCCTGGGCAGGTCTCAATCCCTGGAGCACAGTGACCTTTAGTGCCATCCTTGCCAGAGGGATCCCCGAGGCAGGAAGGAGGAGACTCAGTGTGAGCCAGCCCAGGGCGAGGCAAAGGGCTAAAGCCTCAGACCCCGAGCTGTGCTCTCCTCTCCCCACCTTCTCCCCACAAGGGCACCTGGTCAGCCAGGAAAGTGGGTCAGGCCACCCACATGTGACTTGTTCTGACAACAACAGGGCCCACAGGCAGCAAGGGGGCCTCCGTGCCTTGTGCACAGCCTTGCCCCTTTCCCTTCCCCCCCGCCCCCCGCAGCGCTTCTTGCTGGAGGGACCTTTAGGGAGCAGTGGGCAGTGGGAGTATCCTGGCTTCTCATTCGGGAAGGGGACACTGGGCCAGCGCCTACCCCAGGCCGGCGGGAGGGGGAGCCTGACGGTGCCTGGGTTCCTGAGAAGATCCGGAGCTCCCAATGATGGTGACCTGGCTGGCAGGGAGCCATCTCTATGGCCCTGACCCGGGGAGTCAGGTCTCTCTACCACCCCACCTCCTGGGCTCCAGCCCATCTGTGCCCCGGGGGGAGCGCTGCGCCCTGCCCTCCCTCCGACCTGCCCGTCCACGAGAAGCCGCGCGGCGCCCACAGATGGGAGCTGCGGCAGCCAGAGAACAGAGCACAAAGCCCAGCTGGCACGTTCCTCCCGGCTGTTCGGTGGGGAGGCAAGCCAAGGGGCGCACGGCAGCACCCCTCGGCCCTCGCCCAGGGTCCGGGTCTCCCGCACCTTCAGCGTCTCAGCTCAGCCCCCGTCACCGGCACTGGCACCGGCACCGGGGCCCCTCGTTGGCTGGGCAGCCAGAGTCTGCGCCGCCCTCGGGTGCAGGACAGACGGACCACCTGTGGCTGGCCAACCCCTCCTGCCTCCCGGGGGCTGCGGTGGGCCCGGCGCGGTCTCCCCGGCGCCGCTTCCACTCCCAGCGCCCCAGGCTGAGCCCCGGGCGCCCATCCCCCACCCCGAGGTCCCATCCCGACTGCGGGCGGACCCTGCCGGCCTGGGAGGAGCCTGGCTCCGGGTTCCAGATACTTCGGACAGACACCAAAGCCCCCTCGTCCTTCCGCACGGACACCCACCCGAGTTCCAAGGAAGGCAAGTCCCAGGGTCATGGAGCGCTACCACCCCACCCCTGCCCGCCCCTGTCACGCCCTCCCTAACCTCTCCGCCACCTCTCGGCTCCCCGACATCTCAGGGCCCCTCTCTCCGCAGCAACAGTTTGAGGCGGGTCAGGCCCCTCGGGATGGCTTCGGCCCAGGCGCCCCCTCGCCCGCCGCTGGGGGTCCGGCCGGCGCAGTCGGCCACCTCCTTTACGCACCAGCCCCTTCCCTCGGCGCCGGGGCCGCCCCACCCCGAGTCACCAGCTTCTGCCGCGGCCCCGCCGGCGCCCCCAGCGCTCCCGGGTCAGCCGGGGCCGCACACTCACCCGCGGCCGCCGTCAGGTCCCCGCGCCGCTCGGCTGCAGCCCGGGCCGGGCTGGGGAGGCTGGTCCGCGCCCCTCCGCCGTGTGCCGCCGCCAGGCCGGCCAGGCTCGTGGCGCCTTCCGCCGCGGAGTTGTCCGGGGAGCGGTTGCCCGGCAGAGTCGGGAGGGCGACGGCGGAACAACGATCCGCTCGCTCGCGCCCTGCGCCCCGCGCCCCGCGCCGGGGGCTCCGCGCCGCCCTGCGCGCTGGTGGCGGGAGCTGCGAGCTCCAGCCGGGCGCTCCCTCCGCGCGCTCGGCCAAGTGCACCCCGCAGGCCTGGCGCCCGCGCCCTCCGCGCCTCCTCCGGCTGCGCTGCCTCCTCACTCGCTGCTCCGCCGCTCTCCCAGCCTCCCCAGCCCGCTCCGCTCGCCGCCTCCCCATCCGCAAGCCACGCCGCCCCCTTCCAGGCCCGCTGCCATTTTAACTCCTGAGTGGCCAGAGGTACCTTCTCCCCAACACACATCCACACGCTGGAGGGGGGAGTTGGGCGGGGCCCGCTGCTAAAGCTGGAGTGTCTGGGGCCAGTGGTGTTCTTGCGACTTCAGTGCAAAGCTTGGCTGAAAGAAGTGGGCACAGGGCCTGAGAGAAGAAGGGGGCAGCTCTTAAGATCTCTCTCTTACCCCGTTGCAAAGGCCAATAGGTTCTACGCTTCGGAAGTTAACAGGGAACTAAGGAATTCAGTGGGTGGGTTAGAATTTGTTCAGCGGACACAGGCGCCTCTTATCCCAAAGGATGGAGTGGAATACCCCTGAGGCCTCATGCCCTTAACGGCACTGCCCCCTGAACAGGGCAGTCCTGGCGTCTTGGAACAATCCCCCTGGCCCTTAGCAAACGATGCCATCTATTTAGGCATTAGGCAGGAGCCAGCACGCCCAACCAGGGGCGTGGTTTGGGGGGTGGGCGTGGTGCTCACCCTGCAGACTGGGCGTTGTGAACACAGGGAAAGGAGGAGAGGAGCTGATCGTGCTGAAGGTGGGAGCTGGGTTGCTTCCCGGGGGCTTAGAAAGGCGGGGTCCCCTGCTATGCATCTGGCTTGGGAGAGAGGGTCTCCTACCGGAGCGCAGGCTGAAGGCCATGTTCCACTGGGCCTCCCACCAAGACCACTCAGAATGGACACCACAAGGACAGCCCCCAGGCAGGCCACACAGCGGAGGGGTCTTGACCAGAGCCTGCAGAACCAACAGCAGGGAGGGGATGGGGTGGAGTTCCAGATGTGGGGCGTCCTTTGAGGAGGGCATCCAGGGTGTCTTCTGTCACCCAGAGCTTGAGCTCCGTGCCTCTTGCGAGGTGAGCTCTGGGCAGACAAGGACAGTTCTCTGGCTCTCTCTTTTCCAAGGGCACAGCCAGTGGGGACTCCATCCCTGGAGGCTTTTATAAAGTTGTCTTGAAGGTCCGTGTGGTCTGTATGCACAGGTGGGGTCCTCACCTTCATGTACTGAAAAAAGCACACATTATGCTCCCATTGTACCTCTATGTCGCCACCCTCCACCCCTGCTGGGGGGTATAATAGAGGGACAAGTTGGAACTATATGAAACATATTTTTAACATTTCAAGGCCATGGAAGTGCCAAAGAAGTACAGACAGAAAAAGCCATCATGGGCTGGGGTTATTCATAGACGGTTTTATGGAGGAGTTGAGATTCAAGCTGAGTCCAGATGGAGGGATAGGTTTTGAACTGGTGGAGAAAGCACGGGCCAGACCAGCAATGGCAGGAAAGCACAGTAGAATGGGTCACCTGGAAGGTAGGGGCAAGGGAGGGAATTTGTAAGACAACTACTGGGTGCCGGGCCTGCTCACATCTCTCATTTAATCCTCTGAGTTGACTCCTACCCCACTGAACTGACAGGAGGATGAAGGGTCAAAGAGTTTAAAACCAACAGTCAGAATGTGAACTCTCTTTGAACCCACAGTGTCCTTGCCACAACACCACATTGGATATGCAGAGGGGAGCCGCTCGCGAGGAGCCCGCATTGCCGGGCTGAGTTTAGCTCGGCTGTGCTCACATGCTTTGGGATGAAAGAGGCAGGAGGACGGGAGGCTAGTGAGGAGGCTGTGGTAGGAATGAGGGGGAGGGGAGCACTGAGAATGGACAGCAAAGGGACTTTGTGAGAAAGACGTGGTAGAGCTTTGACACAGACTAATTGAGTGAAAAGAGTCAAAACTTGCCTCCAAGCTTATGTGCATGAATGTTTGGATTCCTTGTCAATTTAGTGGAGCCACCACAGGGCCACTCCTTTACCAGCTCAAGAGCCTGGGCTCTCGACTCCAGTGTCCCTGCCTCCCAGCCCCTCCGCACAGCCTCGTGTATCTTAGCTCCCAAACAGTAAGTTTCTGGAGGGCAAAGACTGTCCACACAGCATCAAGGCATGACTAGTAGGTGCTCAATACCTGATTGTTGAAGAATGGGATAAAAGCAAGTAATATTTGCTAAGCAGCTGATTCCTAAGTGGCAGACCCTTTAAGGCACGTGCTGGGCAAGGGGTCGGGGAATTGCATTGCCCATGGGAAGAGAATGGTCTCTTACAACCCAATGGGACTCAGGAAAGAGCAAGAGGTTTGAAACCCTGCTTATCACTTCCTCTGTGTTGCTTCAGGAGACATGCTTAACTTCTCTGACCTCCACTGATTCCTATGTAGAAATATTAATTCAAGTAATAGCGGCTAATCACAATTATGCATGAACTCATTAAAAATTCCGCCAACTCCAGGACCCTAGAGATAGGAGGGGGAAAAGGTTTGCCATTTATATAACCGGGACAGAATTGAGCTGAGATCTGAACCCAGGGCTCTCTGATGGTGAAGGCTAAGCACCACACTACCCTGCAACACTTCCTAACGATGAGGTGGCAATCAGGTATTAATTCATACTCGTAGGATGGGTGTGGGATGTGACAGGGTACAAGCGTCTGGCAGTGAGCACAGTGTCTGGCACGTGGCGCACTCTTCTCTCTCAAATCATGCTGTCATTCTGAGCCAGATACTTTCCTGGGGGAAGATGGGGACTCAATTCAGTCCCTTGGAAGCTCTTAGGTAATTACCCAGAGGATTTAGTGGCCCAGTTACTGACCTTTCTCCCTCCAAGTTTAATCTCTAGGGTTAGCCATGCACAACTTCTTGCCGGGAAGCCTGGATGCTGGGATTACACACCCTTACAAATGATCCTCGGCTCAGCTCCACTTGATGCTTTAATGGAGGGTCAGATGCTGGGCTAGCAGGCATGCTGTTTAGGGGGGCGGGGCAGTGAGGGGAGGAGGGCTTCTGGAGCCTGGCACAGGAGCCAAGTCAGAGAAGGGAAGCTGAGGATGTGGTGCCACCTCCCTCAGTGGACCCTCCACTGCTGGATGCAGCCTCTGCCCGGTCTCTACCTCAGGAGGCCTTGGGCGGGGCCTTTGGGGTCACTAAGGACTATTGGCTCCCCAGGGAGGCCCGTCTAGGATGGACCTAGAGCAGTGTCCTCAGGCTTAAGCATCCCTAGAGTCAGTGTACAGATGCAGATGCACCAGTGCTACCCCAGAGTCAGACTCTGCAGCTCTTGACATCTGCACGTTGGCAAACTCTCCACGTGCTTCCGATTCAGGAGGCTGGGTGAGCCCGGCTTTGGGAACACGCTGGCCTGCGGTGCCCGTCGCTCTCTGACCTCTCCCTGTCTGGGCTCCGTGACAGCAGAGCCTGGACTCTCGCTACTGGGGAGAACAGTCAGAGAACACGGGATCCCTGCCAGAGGCAGGCTCATGGTGAAGTTGATGAAGCTTAAGCTTTAGGGTTGCTCACTTGTGGGGTTCAGGGAGGGGGCTGTCTTTGAGGTCTGGGAGTCATAAAGTGTTCTATACGGGGAGGGGAGGCTGGTTTGCAAACAGGAAGCATTTCTGGTAAACTGGATGCAGAGATGTCACAAGAAAGGGATGTGAATTTCCAAGACTTGTGTAACTTGGGATTTGTCCAGTTCTAAAGAAACATTACCATTGGACCTAATTTTGTGTTTGTTCCTTTCCTTCAGAGGGCCCCACCAAACCTGGGGCTTCCCCTGGCCCCTGCCCTCAGGAAGGTCCCAGCATCCACAGACAGCCTTGGGTCACAGAGAAAGCAGCGAGGCAGGAGGACACTGCAGATGGCGGAGCTGCATGGAGCGGCGGGGAGTCCTCGCTTTCCTGGAAAAGACACTGCAGGTAAAAATGATGTAGGCTGAGTCTGCTTTTTGCCCAGAAACAATGTGATAACTGAAACTACATTCCTCACCAAGATCCTGGTGCCCAGATTTTTATAGGAATAAGCGCAAACACCATAAACACCATATTTATTCAACTGTGACTGATACACCTGTACTCTGTATTTGTTAAATTGAACGTAAGTATATAAAACAGCTAAACCGGGCAATATGGTAACCAAATCCCATGCTGTTTAATTTAATGTATTCAAAAGATTCCTGGGAGAAATGTTATTTTGGGGAATGGGTGGAGGGAGCCATGGAGAGGGCTCCCACTTCCCTCCATAAGAAACCTGTATGGCAGTGGTTCTCAACCTTCCTAATGCCGCAACCTTTAAATACAGTTCCTCATGTTGTGGTGACCCCCAATTTCATTGTTACAAATTGAACATAATTAAAGCATAGTGATTAATCACAAAAACAATATGTAATTATATATGTGTTTTCTGATGGTCTTAGGTGACCCCTGTGAAAGAGTCGTTCGACCACCAAAAGGGTCGCGACCCACAGGTTGAGAACCGCCGCTGTATGGGGACGAGGGGGACTCCCAGGGTTGGAGCTAGGGGACAAGGGTCTTGTGTCCCATGGCACATCTGAAAACAAATTAAGCCACGTGTGGGTCCAAGTGGCCGACTCTGAAGTGCTTGTCTCTGAAGTCAAGGGCTGCCTACACACAGGAATGGGCCATTGGGGAGGGCTTGGAGGGTGTGGCACTGGATTAGGATGATCTGGGGTGGCTCTCTGGAGGAGGAAAGCTGTGAGAAGATACTTTGAAGGCAGGAGAGGCGAATGGTTAGGCTTCCTGAGAGGCCAGTCCCAGGGATCCTCGGGGACCTTTGCATCTGACCTCTGAGCCACCTCACAGTCCGCCAAGAAGCCTTTGTCCATACGTGCTCATCACTGACCTTCCATCCATTTCAATGTTTTTCCAACTGCAGGTGGGACCCGTTAGTGGGTTACAATAAGAGCTTGTTTAGAAAATGAACCAGAATAGGATTGAACATCATCCTTTTGCTCCTGTTTCATGTACACATAGGGTGTACTGACTTGTGCTGTTCAGGGTGTTTCTCACCATGGGGCTCCAATCAAACCTCGGCTATTTATTCCCAAAGCCTGCAAGTAAGAGACACAAGGGCTGGCTCACATGTTGGAAATAAAGCATTTTA